AAAATATGAAAATAAAAAAATATTAGTACAGAAAAAAAAAATTAAAATTACAGCAAAAACTCCAAAACTGAGAAAAAGTGTAAGGAAATAAGTGGGCGAGGAAGTCGCATTTGTAAATAATACACAACAACAAACAAAAATTGGCAATTGGTGCCAAAATATATAAATTATATTCAGAAAACCTAAGAACATAATTGATACGGGAAGTTAAAAATCAAAAATATATAACGCATTAATCATAACTGTAAATAAGAGCAAGAAAATGCAACCAAAATTATTTCACATAATTGTTATTGTACTTCTGACTTTATTCGTGCTAATGCCAACAAGCCAATGTGGACCGTTGCCAAAAGTGGATGAGGTAAGCATTTGAAACACCGTTAACTTTGGTTGCACCGTTGCTATATTACCCTTCACAAGTTCCACTTTTCTTACAAGAACTTGATGTCGAGCGATCAGTTGGTATGAGAGCTGTATGCTATAGTGCTCCCAGGTGAACAATTTCTTCGGATATTGTATTGTTGGTCTGTAGAATAACCCATGATAAATTTCATCAAGATATCTTCTTAAATAAAAAATTGTTCTATACAAACATCTAAATTTGATCGATCAGTTTGTATGGCAGCTATATGCTATAGTGGAATAATCTCAAATTTGTTTGCGGATATTGTATTGTTGCCCTGGAAACTAGCCCATACTAAATTTCGTGAAGATATCTCTTCAAATAAAAAACTTTTCCATGCAAGGACCTAATTTTAATCGATCAGTGTGTATGACAGACATATCCAATAGTTATCCGATCTGAACAATCTCCTCGGAAATTGTACTGTTGCTTTGGAAAATAACCCATGCTAAATTGCGTGAAGATATCTTGACAAATAAAAAGGTTGCCTATACAAGCACCTAATTTTGAACGATCAATTTTTATGGTATAAAGTATAAGGCATATTGTCTGTTTGGATGTACTCTGTTTAGGGTATAAAAATATGTTAAAACTCTTTATGTCTAAGCCTAGGCGTAGAAATTTATATAAATAAAACTGTTATCATGTTATTATATTATGTGACCTTAACCACTGACGCACGTTTAACTAATAAATTGACAAAATATTTTTCGAGAAACGTGTCGAACAAGGCCGTAAACACACATTATATATACCTACTAAAATGGATTTAAATTAAATTAAAAAGCAAGCATGCAGTAAAGAGAAAAAACTTGTACAGAGAGATGTTTTGACTTTGAAGTGACTCTTCTCTTAAACTATTTCAGCCATTATTATTAAAGATTTAACAATAAAATAATTTAGATGGTGAAAAAACTAAAATATCTCAATTCTGCCACACAAAAAAAAACCTCCGTTGGCAACACTTTAAATCCAGTTATTAAGTCGAACTTTATTAAAGGGTGATACATTTCGAGGTTCCCTCCTTTTTTTAAAAGAACAAACACAGAAACTTCAAATTAATCGGGGAATACAATTATTATCAGACGAAGAGCATTCTTTAGCATTTATTTTTTCAAGATTCTCTCTTTCACATGTTGGCTGCGGCTACATCTTAGATGGTCCGTCCATTGAGTCCAATTTTCCATGACTCCTGCGAGCATTTCGACTGGTAACTGACGAATGAAACGCGTGACTTTACATATTCTCACAAGAAAAATCACACGATCTTGGTGATTACGAGCTTCAATGTCAGCCAACAAATAATCGGTTATCATGGCACGATAGCGGTCGCCACTACCGATTACGTTCTCAACGGCATCATTTTTGAAGAAATATGGAGAAATAATTCCACCAGCCCACAAATCACACCAATACCGTTATTTTTTCTGAATGAAATGACAGCTCTTGAATCTCGTCAGGTTCTTCTTCATCCCAAATGCGGCAATTTTTCTAGTGTACGTGCCCATTGCGGCCTCAAGTCCTTCCATACGTCAGTCCGAGTTGCTGCACGAACGCCGCTGAATCAACTCTCCATGATCTTCGTATACACACTCAGCTACGGCTGTTATAGTTTCTTGACTGCGTGCTGGAAGTGGTCTATTCGTTCGAATATTCTTCAAAAATGAATGCTGGGCCTCAAGATGGATGATAGTGTTGTAAATAGTACGCTCAATACTATGTCTCGGAATAGCAAAGAGCACCCCAAAATATTCGCACTCGCTAATGCCAAGGTGTTGGAGGAACACCCTTAAACTGTTCGCAACTTCTTGCTTTTCCCCCTATACTTGACCGTTTGGTTACCATAATATATATCGTAAGTATGTAGTACGGCAACGGCAAAAAATAGTGCTATTTCACATGACAGCAGACACGTAGTATAAATGGCTACTTATTTACACCTTCGTCTATATACATTCATAAGTACATGTACGCTACAAGAAACCCTACAAGAAACGCGGCTGCTGATCGCTTTGTTGTCAGTGCTGACTATCAATTCACTTGTCAAATTTAGTCACCATTGACAGTCAATTGTACAGTGAAATGATTGACAGTGTTTACGGTGTTTCCAAAAAGAAATTTTCTATATGCCAAAAAGAGACAGCACACCTACCCATACCAATAACGGCGCTCTTTGCGAAAAATACAAACAAGCTAAACGTTACTCAAATTGGAAAAAACATTTGCTGCCTTACTTTAGAAAATCTATGTATATACATATGTATGTATGTACAAACGTCGGAGACCCTATAAAATAAAAAAACATGTTTAAAGGATCAACGTGATGAGCTGTCTGTATATAATTCCTGTTTTTGATGCTCTGAAATGTTTTTCTTTCCTCCTGAAGAAGTGGCTCATTTGTTGAAACCACTGATATAGTAATAATATTATATATCATATAGCTGTCAAACAAACTGAACGATCAAAATCTAGTCCTTGAATGGAAAAATTTTTTTTTGTCGATATACATATCTTTAAGTTGAGATATCTTTTCCTGCAAAAGTTATAAGGACGAGTAGTGTAGTAATATAGCTAATCAATTTCAAATACAAAAACCCTTAACAAACTGATAGGAAACTTTGTTCTACACGCTGACAAAATTTTTCCAGCTGTGACACCCAAATGAGCGGTAAGATGATTGACATGATAGTTGTAGGTATAACATAAAGTTTTGAGTCAAGATGTAGCTACATATGTGTATAGACAACGTGCAACATTTGTTTAGAATCTGTGTAGCAAAATAAAACGCTAGAAACTCTTTGTACACAATTAACTTTTCAATTGAATTAAATTCTATATTATTTGTATATCTATTTGTATTTCTCACTCTAGCAACAACTTTCGAAAATACCACAGTGGCATTGTTTGCGCTACTTTAAACACGATTTATTGATGATGCGCCGCTGCCGGCATTTGCATGTGCCAACGGCTCCACGCTCCGGTAATGTCAAATGAGTACCAATGTACGGGAGACCCTGGCCTCCAACAACAACACAAAGGAATGGCGGCCTCGTTGCGGACTGGTTAGCTGAGTGACTTAAATGAGGCATACACAAATTATATTTGGAGGGTACGATGATTTGTATGCCATTGCGACGGAGTCATGTCACATAACACAATGCCAAAAAAAAAAAAAAAAAAAAAAAAAAAAAAAAAAAAAAAAAAAAAAAAAAAAAAAAAAAAAAAAAAAAAAAAAAAAAAAAAAAAAAACCAACAACAACACCAGCAATAACAGTTGTAAACAAATATATAACACGTATGGTGTATTGATCAAGGATTTACATTGTTCGGCACAAATTTGTATGCTCAAATGGCACAAAAACTGGCACCCACTGACTGATTTTCAACCAAAAGTACATATAAACATACAAGCATATGTATATAGTGTAAGCGTGACTGATGAAATAATCAAAAACACGGAAATGCCGGCAAACATTTGCTGTTTATTTGTTGTTGCTTAAGACTCATTTTAATATTCATTCATTCATGCTTACATAAGTACATTGGTATATAACGGTATGTACATACATAAACTTAGACTTACTCGAGATAATAGCATGCACATAAGGAACTGATTTCATGAGCCGCAATTGAACTCAATCGGAAGCAAAACAGTTCGGAGATTTCCTGCAACTCAATGAGATTTTTTTAGAGCCATAATTCTTTGTATACATGTGTGTGTATATTCCCTTGAGTTGCAGCGTCATTGAATAAAAAATATACTTCCTTATAGGCATCGCTTTATGCATAGTAATTCAAAATACATAACAAATATTACAATAAAAAAAAAAAAAAAAAAGAATCCAATAACTTTAAGAGAACGCATGCATACATATATGATAAACCATAAGTAAATAAGTAGCTTAAGCCAAATGTACTTCATATAATATTCTCCATCAACATACACATACATAGATATGTATATAGATTTGTTGTTTGTACTTTTTTATGCTTAAGAAAATTTTGTATATTTTATATTTCAATAAAGTGGTGAAATACTCTTGGATTTGTTTTCTGTCTTGAGTATCTCGGTAGTCATAGTACCTTTTGCGAACCCGGCGCATTGGATAGAGTTGCTGTTAACCACTACAAAAAACTTGTGGCGGCAGGCTGTAGATGTTTTGTCAATATGCAACGGTCTCTCCATCTAGGAGTTAAAGACATCAAAACAGATTATCGCATCTGTGTTGAGTACTAAATATGTCATAATTATACCAGTAAGAAAAGGAAGGTTTGGGTATATTTGGGCTAAAAGAAGGTCTGAACTGATTGCATAAACTTGTTGCATTACTCAAATATTATTTTCAAGCAATTTTATGATGACAACACACACACTGACCGGCATATTCGACAAGTTTGCTGAATAACCCAAAAATTTTAGGTGTGACTTTCGACAGCCTGTGCTCCTTCACTCCATATACGACCGCGATTATCCCCAAAGTACAGAGCCACAACAAAATCCTCAAGGCGCTAGACGGCAGCACATGGGAAAGGACAAAGAAACGTCGTTGCCAACATACAAGGCAATCGGTCGGCCGGTCTTTAACTACGCCGCATTAATATGGTCGCTTGGATGCAGAGAACTTGTCAGAACATATACAGGATGAATCTTGATATCATCAATCGAACACCCACTATGCAGGTGCTCCCAGTTAAGGATCATAGTTAACTCCTCTTCAACCAGTTCCTAAGGTGGTACTTTCGTAGAAATTATCACAGCAGCGCATACTGTAGCAAGTTAAACTCTTACTTATCCAGAATAAATTCTGACATATCAAATATACGCCCAGCGTCCAATTAGCCCCTACATGGCACTCGCCGCTTCTTTGCATGCTCTTCTTATTCCACTCATCTGACATCCTTCTCCCTTTGGTCCGACCCCGTCGAAACACCACGTTTTCTGGGCCTACTATTGGATGACGTCGATGATAACTTATATCTAATACTTGTCATCCTAACGGGGATTAGGTACCCCTTACAACAAAAACAACTGGCTGATGAGCATTCTGTAGGCGCAGGATAAAGACCCTTGGATCCATGTTTACAAATAGGGATCACATCGCCTCAATAGCACCTAGTAGTATTATATTGGAAGGCCTGTTAGGAATTCTTTCTTTAAGAATGCTCACATTAGTATTATGTTAACTGAGTGGTGCGTATAAAATTAAAAATTTTTTATGCAAGAAGTCGGTGTGGTTGTAGCCTAATTTCAACCTAGGATATAGGATTTCACCTAAAAGTGAACGGTGCCACACCCACTGTCCAATTTTGACAACCACTCCCATAAAGATAGTTCCGAATCCCCTCGGGTGGAAAATTTAATGTCTTTGACTGGTTTAGTCATTGATTTATCGCCTCTTTTAGTAGTTATTATCGTTATATGGGGAGTGGGCGTGATTATAGCCTGATTTAACCATAGAAATATATGCTTAAGGAATGCAAACTGTTGACATTCATAAGAAGTATTGTCGGTCTCTTAAAAGTCGGAGTTTTGTTTATATAAATAATTTATTGCTGTTTTATTGCCGAAAATCTAGAAAAAGTTGAATGAGGCCACCATTTTGTTTATTTAAAAATAATAATAAAGGTCCGACCAGAGCTTTAGACTACCACGTTGTTCCGTTTCCACGACAGTCGGGTCTACGTAACCGGAACGGACACGGATTTTTATCCGGACAAGGACTGTCAACTCGGCACAATTCTGCCGCTACAACAACAGCAACAATTAGTGTTCAATTCCCACAACAGCCGATGCTACGTTACCGGAATTTATCCATACACGTACGCTTATTTCAAGCATTTAGATGATGAGTAATCAAGAATTTGTGATAGTCAACGCAAGGAGCTTCGACTGAGGTATGCTTTTACTTTTATAAATAAAATAATATACTGGCAAAAATAACCACACCTAACCTCATAAACCAGTATTAAAATTAACAATTTTTCTTCATCACAATTAAGTACATATACATACTTTCAACATCTAAAACATATATATAAAAAAAATGTATATAGTATATATAAAAATACTCACCGATTTCACAGCCATTTTGCTAGAATTACCGATAACCAGTGGTCCGATCGGTTGTCGGGAGTTGGTCTGCATATCAGAATGTTGTTGTGTAGCAAAAGTGCCGAAGGTACTGTATTGCAACGCTTGATTGGCCGGATTGCTAAAGGTAATTGGAGGCGGCGCGTCATCGTCCACACTGTCTGGCACACCCAAATATTTAATTTCCTGCAATATATAAAAAATATGTGTAAATATATATGATCCATTGAAACAATTTCGGTTTCTGTATTCACCTGATCTTCTGTTAAAAAGTATAATGTGGATTGTGCCTGCCAGTCAACATTAATGGAACGGTTCTTGGGATGCCGACGTGGGAGCCAAATCGCGCCATACAAACGGGGCAAATTGCGTCGTTGATATATGGGTAGCGGCACATTTGGTTGGAAAACGTACACTATAAAAAGGTTTTAATAAATTTTTATATAATTTGTGCTTAAATTATCAAGTTTCATAGCTGCAACTTACATTCGTTATACTTGGTAAAGGCAGCGCATAGGTTGCTGATTGGATCGAAGGCCAAATGCTCGACAGACAATTTGCACGCCGCATGTAAACGTAGCGTAAGTAAATTGAAAATTAAAACACGCCGCTCTGTGCACACTATGACCTGAGAGCAGAAGAAATCTTTAGCTTCATATGCATTTGGAAAATGCATTTATTACAACTGGCTTACCAAATGAGCCCATTCGCCCGCCGCAAATTGCACCTTCGAGATTTGAGCCCTTACTGGGTCAAGATCACCTATTTCTCCAACCAGATCTGTAGCTGCTGATTGCTTCGCTGTTGTTGTTGTTTTCTCCCTCGTTGCCGCGGAAATGTCATATTGTGCGCTAATGCCGTTCGTAAGCGTTGAGTCTTTACTTTTATCGCCAAAGTTCAGCACCTCCATCAGTGGCAGCAGTTTCCTTTGCACCTGCACATCATACTTATTTAGTCGGTTTTGATATTCGTGCATGCGACTCTTAGCTCTGTAACGTTCTCTTGTGCTCATACACTTGAGCACGTTTTCCATATCGCGGTAACACTTCTGTTCGCCTTCTGGTAATATTGTGTCGTACAAATAGGCGAGTAAACGTGCGCGACCTTCGGGACGGACATTCACGCGTATACCGAGCCGTTGAAAGAGCAACACTTTATGGAAGAAGTTCAACTCATGCATATCCATTATTTTATTGTAGAGCTGTCTTCGCGTTTCTTCGTCGATTTCTTCTGCCGACACTTCTTTGGGTTTAAATTCAATTTTTTCACATTTCTCGGCAAACTTTTCGAGTTCCTTAATAAGTGTTTCATCATATTTTTCGATGAAGTCATTTAATAGTTGCAACCAGCGTTTTTGTTTTTCCGGCGTGAATTCGTCCTTAAGTGGTGACTCGATGTCTTTGCGCCGCAAACTTACTTGTATGTGTGGCGCAACGCCATCATAACCGGGCGGTGGTGTAAGTGCTGCTTTCAGTTTCAAATTTTCAGCTTTATATATACAAAGCGTGTTGCCATAACCAGCCGCTAGTACGGAACCATCTTGCGAAAATGAAATGGATTCAATCGGTAAGTTGCGATAGCATGTTTGCGCTACACAATACCAAACTTTTCCTTTGTTATAAATATTGTCCGATTCCTCCAACGACCAAATTTTGATTATGTTATCCTCACCGACGGTGGCACACAACAAATTATCCATTTGATTTGAACTAGAGAATTCGATAGCTTTGAATCCGCCTTCATGCGGCAGCTCGATATTTGTATTTAGCACATAACTAAAACGAAAATAAATTAGTAAATTACTGTATGATAACACAATCACTTTTCACGCACTTTTTCGCAGCCTCATCATATTTCCAAAATTTTAAACGCAACTCTGGCAAATGTTCGCGATCGTTGAAAACCTCACCGGTGGCCATCCAATCAATATTGAAAGCAGCCTTGGTCACAATAATGTTGTAGAGGACTTTATTAGTTTCCATAGAAAGCACGTTTTGCATTACAATATCCATCTGCAGGAAAATATAAATTCATTATTGTCAAATTTGTAACAATATAGGTTGAAGTGCTTACGTTATATAACATGTTCTTGGTGTATACGGAGTAGAACTGCAAATGACAATGTTTTCCATTCAGTACAAGCGTGTTCGTACGTGGATTTAAACGTAGACCAACAGGAAATTTACGCTGCCCTGTTTTATCATTTTCCATATAGGTAAAGTCCTGTAGGGTGCTTCTGACTTTATTGTCAGTGCCAACAAAATGTACGGCATTATCTGCTGTGCAAACAGCAATTTGGGAATTACTATCATTAGCAGCGAGTTGGCAAATAACAGACCCCATGCGTGGTAAAAAATTGCGTAAATTTGGACGTTTAGTATTCCAATACACAAGAACGGACTCTTGGCCACTACTGTAAAAACCTGCGCCGCTGGGTGTGAACGCTATGCTAGACACGGCGGTGTGGTGCCAATGATAGAGGGTCTACAAAAAAAAATTAAACAGTTAAAATAATATTATAAAGTTTAAGTTGTAAGTTTTTGAACATCAAATATATATAATTTTAGGTAATTAAATACTCACAGTCTTTACTGTACTCTGACACATAAAATCCCTCCACAAAAATATTTTGCCAGTTTGGTCACCTGTGATTATCGCTTCTTCAAAGGGATGTGCGCGAACGACCGTAATTGGGACATGGTGGGCGTTAAAAAACCTACAAAAGTAAACAGAGAATAAAAGTTAAATACGAATACCGCAATTAAAAAAAAACAAAAAGTAGGTCTAAACAATATAAAAATGCGACCTCTGCTTATATGTATTTATAAATAATAAAAAAAGCTTTAGTAAAAAGCTTTGAGAAATAAATAGAGCACAATTTACCGCCTCCAAGTCCACGATTTATAATTAAGGAAATATATATAAGCTCCTTGTACTATAGCAATATTTTTGTATTTGTTTGTATCCACTGCAATTAGGGGTTCGTCGGGCCTATAATTAAAGAGTGATCAATCAAAAAATTATAACAATAAAACTGTCTCGATAAACCTACAACAACTTTAAATTACAGGGTACGTATAAACGTTCCGCACTACTTGTATCCACAACGCGCCATTGAACTATCTCGTCAACAGCGGTGCGGATTGTAATAAACGCACACGCCGTTTTGGAATTTCCATATAAATTGATTAGGTTAAAACTTAAGACTTTTTGATCTGTATTCAATTTTAAATCTAATTTGTCTTGAAGTCGACCGCTTCGCCAAAACCAACGAATCACTTCTCCTTTCGTTGTGCACGCAACTAGCGTTTCACTGTCACGCAATTCCAATTCCATGGACACTAGAATACAATTAGCGTCTGCTAGTTTGCGTACATGCTCGCCCGTTGCCGTAGAATAAATGCGCACAACATCCTTGGAACGTATAAATATGAACCTACAATTCGAAAACTTTAGCGGTGAAACACTTTTAAGTAAGGCTTTACAACTCACTCTTCTCCAGGGGCAAAAAGTGGCGTATGTTCAACAAGATTGGCACCAGCCAAATGTTGCAGTTGGAGTTTATCAAGTTCGTCAAAATCCATTATGTATTATTTTTATAAATTGGGATAGTTTTGTATTACACTTTATAGCTTTTGTAGCCGAGTTATCAGTTAACACACGCTTTGCCCCTTTGCTATGTTTGTTATACTGCAATGATTTTTTGAACAGTTTAGAGGCAGCAAACCACTGCCTTAAACACCAAAAAGTGTGGGAATATAGTTGTCCAACAATTTTCCAAACATTTATATTTTAATTAATATAAATTTAAGTTTTAATAATGGCACTTTTCACTGTTGCCCTGCACGTGTTGAATCTGTCAAAAATTATTATCCATTGAAAGTGTTGTGCTATTCTCTTTCACTTTGCATAGCCTTCTAAACTGTTTCTAACAAATTTATATTGCATTTTTATACCAAATTAATTATTTTTATTTAAAATTGCAATGCATTTCTATCATCGCAAATTTTAATAGAGCCTGAAGCACTAAACTACGCTTAACTAATATTCTTGAAGGAGTTTTTAACAATTGTTCAGTTTTATGAATACTAATCGATTTTTCCATTTCGATAAAGTTTATCCCTAGTTCAATCCCTAATATTGTAGTTGAACAGCTGTTGCCTGCGTGGGACATTGATTTTTTTCTTTCATATAAACGCACGAACGAAACAACAAAAAACATTATAATATTTTATAAATTTGTGCTCATTTATCACAGAAAATTCAATGGAAACACTGTTGTAGAGTGTGTAAAAATACAAGTGAAACATTTTAAAAATTAAGCGCTATCTTTAATGATTGCGAGCGCATTTAACGATTGACAACAAAATCTAAATTTATTTGCAGCACAAGTGTGTACGTAGCAATTTATTTATAAAGTGTTAAATGTAAAATGCGACCAAATTCCACATTTATCACCCCGGTATTGTTATGGCATGTGTGTTTGCTGCTGACCTGCTTTTGTCCCAGTGTGGTGCTAGGAAACCTCAAGGTCATTTATGCTGTGAACGCTGGGGGTCAGGAACATACTGACAAACATGGCATACATTATAGTGCAGATCCTTTGCATGGACGTATTGGAACAGCTTCCGATTATGGTAATCACCTGCTTTTGATAGGTCGTGTGCCGGAACAAGATGAAGTGCTTTATCGTACTGAACGTTATCATACAGCAACATTCGGCTACACATTGCCAATAGACGGTGATGGCGAGTATGCGTTGATAATGAAGTTTTGTGAAGTCTACTTTAATGAGCCAAATAAAAAGGTAAGCTTCAATTGACTTTCGCGTTAAATGCGAAGTGTCATATACATTCATTATTGATGTATAGTGGGCGTTTTGTTTTCTGATATTCGTAACGGTTTATTTTAATCCATCATATCTTATGCATATGTACAGAATTATGTGACTGGATAAAATGAAATGTTTTCTAATCATCAACGTATATTGTTTGCGGTTTATGAGTAATAATAACTTTTGCATTATTTCAGGTCTTCGATGTAGTTCTGAATAACAAACATACTGTAGTAAAGGAATTGGATATATTTCATCAAGTGGGCCGTGGTACCGCTCATGAAGAGTATGTTTATTTCATAATCTCTAATGATCGACTATACTACAAAGATGAACAATCTGACATACGGAATGGTGTAGTGCGCTTAGATTTCATTAAAGGCCACTATGATAATCCAAAAATCAATGCCTTTGCTTTACTCAAAGGTGATGTGGCAAATATCCCCCGATTGCCGCCCACATCAGATGATATTCTTCCGATTGATTCTGATATGGCAGTTTTTAATGATCGCGTCTCTGCGGAGGGTGGCGGCAACAGTGAAATTTCATCGGACCAATTACCGGAAAACCAGCAGCGTAGTAGAGATGCGGCGTCTTCAGTGGATGATGATATATTTGAAGAAGATGAAGATAATGAAGAAGAAACATGGACAAAAAAACGTAAGGTTAGTGGTCCACGGCAACCGGACCCCTACTCCATGGACGATTCTTCAGTTATGTTACCAGTGTTCATAGCGATTGGTGCATTTATACCATTGCTCTTTTGCCTCTGCAAATTGTGATTTCTTGTTACGTTTTGTACGTAAGTTATTAAAGAAAAAATGGTACTAAGTAAGGCGGATGTGCGATGTACGCCGCTTCTGTTCACTATCGTATATACTGAAGTTTCGCATTTGTTGGAACACCGGATATTTTTGCCAAGTCCAACAGCTACATTTAAGTTCACTATTTATTTGAAGTTGCACCTGATCTCCTTGGTATATAGGTATATGTTTTTTTGCAATATTTTTCTTTCTTTTCTAACACATTTGCTTTAATTTTCAGTAAAGATGTTATTATTGAGTTTCACGTTTTTTTATATTTATTTAAAAAGTTAAAATAATATTTTTGGTTGTGAAGTATAGAAATGCGTACTTATTACTGCTATGCGTTTTCAATAAAAGTGTTCAATGCTCAATGAATTTTCTAAAAAAAAACGCACATTGTGTTTTAGCATTTTCTAATTTATTTTTGCTTAAAACAATATTGTTGTGAAGAGTTTAAGATATAAAACATTTATGAATTATAATAGTATTATTATAACTACATAACTATTATTTAATGTATGGGCTAGTTAAAAAAAATTTTGAAAAATAGATTTGTGTCAAATTGTTCAATATATTTGATTTAATTGTTGGAAGTAAGTAAGAATATTATATTATAATATAACAATATTTCAGATAAAAATTATTTTGTATATATGATTATTTCAATTATTCATCGGAAAATATTTATTCACTATTACCTTATTTATTATTAACTTTGGTATTCAACACGTTGCGACAAACGTCTTCACAACACTGGTTGATATAATTTCAATGACATAAAGTTTGAAAGCCAGTGTAAATTGCTTTGTCACATCTGATGCACAAAATGTAAATAAATATTTTAACGAAATTTAAAAATATGCCACAGTAAGAAAATTGAAGAAAAGTATCCGATGTAATTACAACTTTTGTTTAAAATGAAGATCCTTTGTGAGACAGTTGTGCAAGATCGAGTAACCCAACGTAATCGTTCACCTCGCTATGTTAAATCCACTCTGGCAGTTGGATATAATAATTCCGCCAAAGATGTAGATGGAAACAATACCAGACTCCTAGAAATAATGCATTTTACACCACAGAATCAAGCGGGAGAACGATTCAAAGTCACAAATAACATAGATAAAATATTCTCCAAATTTTTGCGGGATGGCAAAGTTACCATTGGATTCAAAGAACCAGCGATAAATCTTATGATCAACTGCGATCCCATACCATTGAAGGGTTTCCTACAAACTATAAAGCTCGGTTTAGAGGGAAAAGATTCAATAAACTTAAGACTGAATATAGCAGCAGCGTCTGCTATACCACAACGCTCTAAACCACAAGAGAAATTGACGGTTTTGCGTCGTGGTGATTATCCAGTCAAAGGATTTCCACGCACACTGAAATCATTAAAAATTTCGAACATACAGTTACTGAAAATAACATTTGATATTTGTTCCCTACGTAATTTGACTACGCTCGATTTAAGTGATAATCAAATTTCTAAAGTAAGCAGTTTATTAATTTATTGTTTATTTCGGCACCTCATAAAATAATATTTATATATCTCTTAAGGTGCCACGTGAGATGGGTCGTTTACCACTTGTGTCTTTTACTATAAACAACAACCAATTGGGTACAGTTAACAATTGGGAATGGTTGCGCGGCAAAGAAATACGTAAATCTCTGCGTGAATTAGATTTATCTGCCAACGAATTAAACCATTTTCCACTTGACATAATACGCCTTGAGCAGCTGGTTGGACTTAAATTAAGTGATAATAAAATTAAACGATTACCGTTTGGCTTCCGACGTCTTCGTAACTTACGCAACTTAAATATAGCTTCTAATTTGCTTACTTCACTGCCATCCGATTTCAACCAAATGCGTATTGTTGTGCTGGATCTTTGGGGAAATAAATTTGGCATGAAAATGGAGCATAATACAATTGAAACAGGCACGAATAAACTCAATTCTTCGCCACTGTGGCTTTTAGCGGCACGTGCTGTTTGCCAAAGTAAATTACCTTATTCAGCGGGCACAATACCTTGGATGTTGATCGACATTTTGGCTGAATCGCCGCTTTGCGCTTGTGGAAAACTATGCTTTGACACTACCATTTATGAGCGAGCTGTGATGGCTACACTAGATAACGTAAAGACATTAGTTAGCAGTAGAGAACACTTAATTTATGCTGATATAGTACTGTGTGGGATGAGTTGCGGAGGGCGAAAACAAATGATTTTTTATGAGCAACCTTAACAGAAAACAGAGCAGGATAGTATTTAAATCTCATTAAAGCTGTTTATGTATACTTTTCGCTTCATTCAATTGCAGCATTTATATTAATATGATTTTTATTTTCAAAAATAATAAAAATTCAGTTACAAATCAGATGTAGCATCTTAAATAAATGCTTATTATTCAAACATCCATTCTTCTGACAGCTGTAACCTTAAAAAATATGTGATGCGTTTCTTGTACAAAATGTCAAACAATCTCACCTACAGTTATATCGACAAGAGAAAGTGACAAACATAGTGATGCGTGTTCAAGTCGCCTAGTTTCGAACAGTTCTTTCCACGAAGCATCACAAACTATCCGAACTAACAGTACAACAACAACATCCGACCTAACAGTCCTTGGTCGAACCAAATCCAAGTCGATTGCGGTCACATTGAACCGTCCATTGTGGGATTGGCAACAATCTTTAAAATGCGACTAGACAAAATAATCAGCCGCTATCTAGATGGCCACCAATTTTAAACAGCAAAGACCATTGGTGCAGGATCAATGCAGAAAAATACGAAGTGTTTGCTACACATCTCGAAAACACGTTTACTCCTAAAGAGTTTACATTCGACGTTAGATACCGTGATGCTGAACTGAATTTGAGATCTGTTCATGCTGGCGTGTCCTACGGCAGTGTGCTTGCTCCTGTGCTCTACATATTTTTTTTATA